TCGGAGACAACAGAGACGCATGATGAGCGTAAGAGTTGGGCTTGCCTCCCGTACATACACGGAGTCACGGACAGGATCGGCAAGATACTGGAGAAACACCAAGTAAAAACCCTTTTTAAGCCAACTCGAACCATCCAACAGACTTTGAGAAAGAGACTACCCGAGACTCACCAGAGAAGCCATCGAAATATTTAAACACCAAAACAACTTTAACAGAAAAGAAGAAATTACGGCACTCAATCCAGATTGGAAGCGCGTTTTGCGCCAAACAGCATGTGCGCCGAAGCGTTTGAACCCCCACCCATCCCCCACGGATGAGCACACACGGTTGGGCTGTATAAATACGACGGGGAATCCAGCAGTTGAATCAGTCTTAGTCGGAAAGCACGGAAGATCACTTCGCCCACTGCCTCATCGCCTTTGATAATGTCCACCGCAGTTGTGGACGAAACGTCAGGAAGAAATTCCCATAGACCACGGCTTTAAAGGCCGGAAAACATTCCTCAATGTGATTTAACCGGCCGTGAAAGCCTTCATAGTCATTCAAATTATTGTTTTTTAAATTAAATTAAAATGTTTTGAAAGAAAAATAAAACCAAAACATGATGCACTAGTTTATCAGATTTTTGAGCAAAATTTATGCAGAATGCATTTTGAAATTCAGGTAAAGTTTTCGTCTTTAACCGATTCAATCGCGTGTATGGCCGCCTTCAGCTGGAATAAGGTCCCTCAAATGGCTTGGAATGCCCTAAAAAAGTTGTGCCATTCTTGAAGAACCGTGTTTCCCAGTTCAGGCAAGTTCTCAAGAGTAAGACCTCGTCGGCGAATACGTCGTTTGAGCTGGTCCCAAACATGTTCAATCACGTTAAGGTCAGGACTATGCGATGGCCACACTAAACGTTGAATGCCAACCTCATTAAGATATACGCGCACGATCAGAACTCGGTGCGGTCTGACATTATCATGCATAAACAAGAAATTGTCGCCTATGTGAGGTGCAAAAGGTACGACGTGGTTTTCTAAAATCTCTTGAATACACTTATGGGAAGTTAATGAACTTTCTCGCATCACCACAAGGTCCGTACGGGTCTCCAAAGAAATGCCATCTCAAAACATTACTGAGTCACCACGGAAAGCCAGTTGGAAAACCATACATGCTTGGCTGTATCTTTCTCCTGGTCTTCTCCAAATAAAAACTCGCCCATCCGAAGGTTTTAAACCCACTCTAACTTCATCAGTAAATAAGACTTTCTTCCAGTTATCCAAATCCCAATCCACGTGTTCTTGAGCAAACTCAATCCTAGCTTACTGGTGGGCTATGGTTAAGAGAGGACATTTTGCATGATGTTTTGTACTCAATCCGGATATACTGAACCTTCTTCTTACCGTTTTGGAAAAAATTGCAACATTTCGGGCATTTTGAATTCGATTTTTTATCTCATTTCCGGTAATAAACCGATTTTAAAGTTGGATCCGCCCCTGATGTGGATCTTGGTCGGCCTTGCCCTAATCATCTAGCATGGCAACCTGTTTCCCTAAAACGCTGAAGACATCGACCAATGGCGGTGTGATGAACACCCAATCTTCGGGCGACCTCACGTTGGCAATATCCTTCTTCGAACAAGGTGACAAATTTGACCGCATCAAACTCACATAAATTACTTTCGGGGGCATTTCAGTGCAAATGCACTCAAGTTAGGAAAAACGCAAGAAAATTGAATCGGAATCGCGATACAACACTTGCTGAAAACAATGATGAGATGTTGCAAATGACACAAAACAAGTAGAAACTTGCATTGGAATTGGAAACAATTGGTACTGTACAATGTTGCTTCAACTATTGTTGCGTTATTTACCAGCTTACTTGGGGAAAATGATTTATTCGCAAATGTATATGGTGGTGTGCTAATTTTGTCCATCAGTGTACATTTCAAAAGTGCCTTCAACTTTTTTTATTTAAAATATTGTCCTTAGTAAAGAAGCTATTTAGAAGAGTCGTTCAAGCCACTCTACAAAGGTTACTGTACAAATGCTAAGAGCAAACAAAAAATCCCAATTGAACGTTGAATTTAGTGTGTTTGTAAATTTTATTTAAGTGAGGCGAGTGCACTTCTCATATATTTTTCATTAGTAAAAAAGAAATCGAGCTTCAAAACAGTCTTCAAAATGTTTTGCATTGAGTCTAAACTTGGCGACCCCAAACTCACTATAGAAACGAACTCCATAATCTCGTAAACTAGAAACTCGTAAAACTTTGAAACTCGAAAAAATGAAGGGTTTCTCGACAGATCTTTATCTATAACACAAACTTAACTTAAAAGTGTTCTATGAAATCCATCTTGAAACTTTTACTTTTTCATGTTATTTGAGTGATTTCTTCAATAGTAGCTTACCTAAAGGCGACGGAAGTTGCACGCTTGTAGTATTAGCATGGACCATGGGTGGATTCTTGGGTGATAGTTTTGAAGTTATTGCAGGAGGTCCGCTAGTGTTACTATCTATTTGATTCAAAGTGTCTTTATGGGAGCCACTGCTCGGAGACACTTTACTTAAACCGACTTTTCTATCACAAGAGATTGGAGAGGATTTTCTGTTTTCTACCTGCAAGTATAAATAATTTTAAAAAACATCAAACACAATAAAGCAGTGCAGTTGAACTCATCGGAACAACCGTTTTATGTTGCTTTGATTTGCAAAATACATTTTTTGATTTGCATGTTTTTTAGCGTAGGAACTAATATCAGTATTCTACATTATAATCTGACATTGATTTTGTACACTTACTGTTAAATGCATTTAAAATAAAACGACAAATATATTTAATTAAAATTATTTTTGATTAAAAATCAAAACATTAATAAAACGCTAAGAAAAATTTCAATGCGTAGTTTCTTTAAATACTTGTACGCACCAAAGTTTGTTATGAGGTGTAACGTTCAAGAACGGCTACTTTAAGTTCACTTAAAATCGCGCATTTGTGCAATAAATCTGGATTGACTCTAATGCCAAAACTAATGTAAAAGTGTTTCTACCATAACTTGTAACAAGTACACCATGTAACTTAACAATTAATACGTAAAACAAAATCATTTGAATAGACAGTTTTTTTTTGTGTTCCTGAGAATTTTCAACATGTGATTTTGAAAACTCCTGGTACGATATTCTTTAATCATATGAAACACTTTGATCTTACCTTTATGCTGGGCAGTGGCGTACTGGGTGTTCCACTCTTTTTGGATATTGAACTAGCGCCCGTCCCGCCTGGGCCCCCACAATCTTCGTTAGATCGAGAGTCCTCCTCCAATAGTTTATCGAAGGAACCAGCACTGCCTACGGATTTACGAAACACTTTTATTATACTAGTGTTTCTATGTGTCTTTTTGCGATTAGTAAGTGGATACTTGCCAATACTGCTGGCGCCAGTAGAATTACCACTACTAAACGCTCCGGTATTATTATTCGTAGCGCTGGGGGTATTATTGTTGTTTCCTCTAGATGATACTATGTCAGGAGCTTCTTCTTGGGGAACACATAATCCTGTAAATAGAGTCATTTAGATAAAGCTTTTTATATGAGTAGAAAATCGTCAGTTTTTTGAGCTATGGAATTTTAACAATGTTCTAAAGCGATCTACTCTATATATGTACCTGCCGGAGGCATTTCACACCCTTGGCAGCTCTTCTTCGACATTTCATCGTCTAAGTATTTATCGGATAGTTTTGCACTTTTGCCCCCTTCGCTCGTTACCGAGTCTTTGTCGTCTCCATCTTCACCCTGTTTGCCCAGAGTTTGCCGTTTGTGTTTCATTCGACGATTTTGAAACCATACTTTCACCTAGAATGGAAATATTGCATCTGAACAAATGCCTATTTAAGTTACGGGTCTTTGACGATAATCTGACAATTAAATGGTTTTAACCATATTTTTCGCGTTGGAATTCCTATTATTGAAATTGCATATTAATTAACATGAGAAATCTTCAACAGGTCTCTATTTCCAGACAAGCTCTTCAAATGAATATTGTCAAGACAATTTTTTAAATTTTTACCTTTCAACACTATGATAGCTCAGAACCTAAAAAAGAAATTATTACAGAAGATCTAAACCTGAACTGCGAGATCAAATGCCGAGTTCGATATTGCTCGATCAACCTAAAACAAGCGAGAATCTTCCAATGATAATCTGAATATGAAGGCGAGACTTTTTTTTTTTTTTTCGAACTCACTTCACTAAATTGTATGGAGTGGACACGTGGATGAACCAATTGGAGGGATTCAAAATGTGGCTCCACAGAAAAATGGTTCATATCTCGATAATTATAATCGAAAAACTTTTAATGAACATTTTTTTTCAGAAAAAATCAAACTTTTTTGTAAATTTAACACCCAAAAAAATTCAAGTAGTAGCTTTTGGAGGAGGCTTTATGCAAAATAAGTAATAAAAACACCCGACAAATGTGGTTGTTTCGTTGTATCCTTTTAAAGACTCATCGATGGCCTTTGGCCGAATCAGCTTTTTGCTTAATGAAAGATGGAAATGGCTGAATGAGATGAGAATGAAAACATATTTGAAAAAATCGCAAGTTTATTTTGGATAGTGTAGATGTTTGTAACCTTTTTCAAAGTAAGCGTGTTACTTCGTTTTATAGATATTTTTGATACGATAGTGCGATTTTTCAAATTTCAAACTTTCTACTTTTGGTTCCATGTTGCGATGTCCATATTCACATGCGTCGGCATATAATCACAACTGCATATTTTTACATTGAAAATGTGCTCGAAAAATCACACGAAAGGATGATACAAGTGCTGAGTAATGCTGGATTGGATGACAAATATCTTAGTATCATAAGGAACGTACTGGAACCAAACAGCCACCATAAAGCTCAATATAGAGAAACAGAGTGATGTCATTGCTTGCTATACGGCGTAGAGTTAGGCAGGTATTTATTGTCTTTCCTCTGTTCTCCAACTTATACTCGGAGGAAATATTTACCGAAGCTTTAGAAGACACCGACCACGCAATACTGCCGAATGGAGAACGTATTAATAACATTCGATACGTAGACGACACTGTAGTATTTGCCGACAGTCTAATTGGCTTGCAAGAGTTGATGAACAGGATGAACGGTGCTAGTGAACAATGTGGTCTAAAAATGAACGCAAGTAAAACCAAATTCATGAGCAGAAGATCCAAAACTGTCAACTGTTTATCAGAGAGAGTCCAGTAGAAAGAGTCCAAATTCACTTATTTGGGAACAATAACTATCAAGAGATTAAATGCACATTAGAAAAAGCAAGAGAAACGTTTATCAAAAAGTCAAATCTTTTTAAAAGCCCCAACGTGGATGTTAACATCAAACATGTTACGTTTCCTCAACACTCATCTACGGAGTAGAGTGATGGACATTGACAGAGGCGACCAAGAAAATACTTGAAGAATTTGAAATGTGGGTATATAGGAGAATTCCGAGAAACTCATCGGTGGACAGGGTATCTAATGAATCAGTACTGGGAACAATGAACAAAGGAAGAGAAGTGATAAACACTATAAAACAAGAAAATTGGAATATGTGGGCCATATAATGCGAACGAAGTTTCTTTGGATATTCGACCACCGATTAACTTCCAACACAAGGATTTTTTTTATATTTCAAACAATATTAGGCATTTTCTGAATATACATCTTGGCGACCGCTAGATTGTCAGAAAATCCCCATCACTCTTGCCGACCGGATTTAACTCCTCTATATATTTGTGTTTGGGGATGAAGTCGTTTTGGACTACAATGAAGGTAAAATCTGCTAGTAAATCAATTTATGAGGCGCAAATAAATGTATCGAAGTTTTCGATAATTTGTGACTAATTAGCGCTATTTGATTTATTTTGTTGGTTTTTAAAGTATCTATGAAGGAAATAAAAATCAGACTTGAACATATGAGGTTATTTTAATACAATACCTTACATTCGATTAAATAACTCGATTGTTAAATGGGAAAATTAGTAAATCGATTAAAAAACAATCCGTTTATTCCTCATCATTGAATTGAAGTATCATTCTTTGTAATGCTACAAAGGCGTCAAGACATGAAAGGTAAATTAGTTTACAAATCGTTTCTTTCTGAAATCACGTAACAACAAATAGCCTTGCACACATTTCGAACTGTCGCCGCACTAATGAAAAATCTCGGTCTCGTAACCTATTATTTCCAACGAAATTAATGTAAAAAGGCAAAAAGACGTCTCAAGTTGGGTGTAATATGTTGTTCTGCTCTCAGTTCAATCATTAATCAGCCTGAAATCCATTAAGAGAGACGCGACGGCACTATTCGATCTATTAAGTGGGTTTTGCTTAAACTGAAAATAATTTCAAGTTGTTTTCGAGTGCGCCATTTAATTTCGCATGATTGGGATTGTTAAATTATTTTTTTAAATTATATTACCTGTCTTTCAGTGAGGTCTAAAGATGCTGCTATCTCTATTCGTCTCGGCCTACATAGGTATTTGTTGAAGTGAAATTCTTTCTCTAGTTCTAAAAGTTGTGTGTTGGTATACGCCGTTCGAAGCCTCCGGGGAAGCCCATTTTCTGAAATGAAATACATTTTAATTATTAAAGACCTCGATCGTGGTACCACGTCTGCACTTATTTTACCTAAGTGTTGTGAAAACGTGCTATTTCGAGAAATGCTTGAGAAAAACAAAAATATTTCACGTTCGAAAATATATTTTCAAACACTTCCTAATCATTCAGCGGAAGGCGAGTGTCGCTTTTATGTTTCAGATTGACACGGTGGGAAAGAGTATTGACTGACGGCTGTCCAAGACTAATAAAACAGATAAAAGTGTTTCATTGTCGGGATTTTCACTTTAGTTGCCAAAAGTCTAGCGTAAAACTTTACATATATCAACGAGACATATTCTACTTTTGGAACTGATTGTAACTTGATGCGTATGCAAAGTAACAAAGCTATAAAAAAAAACATATTATACAAGGTTTTAAAGATAATCGATTAACTTCTGGAACCAAGTAAGAAAAGTTGTAGTTATGAATACAATCTGACTCCAAATGTGTCTCAAAAATCTTCAAAAAAAGTGCGAACGGTCAAATGAATGGGTTCTAAAAACGACATTTACCAAACCATTTTTTATTCTTCGTTTCTTTACCCCTCAACTATAAAATTATGAAATTTACTGCATAACATTCAGAAATCAGAATTTGGAGAAATTTGATATCTTTGATTGCATGGCGTGATAAGCGGAATTTGAATAATATACCTACACATACATATATTTAAATTAGTTGTCTCGCTCTTAACAGTCAATATTTTATGTAAAAATATGTACAATATTCTCATAAATTTAATTAGGAAAGGTGAGAGTTGAGATTCAAGAAAATTTGCAGCTTTAAACTTTAACAATATAAATCAGGTGATTGTTGAAGAGGTAAAAAGTCTCACAGAAAAAGCTGACAAATTAAAGCTTTACGAGGATCGGGACTGTAATTTTAACACCTAAAAAAAGTTTACCACAATTCCTATGAGTAACGTTTTATCAAGTTTGTGACTGGCACAGCTTAGTTAATGTGAATATGGTTCCGATTGAGCTTTTGGTTACTTCACAAGAAATTGTCAAACTTAAAATAAAAGGGGAAAACTATGATTTACAAACAAAATGTTATGCATTATGCCACTTTTCTGCCCATTTATCAGCATCGGATTGAGATGGAGGACTGGATAGAGCATTACAGCACATTTTTTGTAATTAAGACATGAGATCTGGGGCTAGGATACGAAGCAATAAGCCAGAGGAGATTGAAAAAAATATAATACAAAAGAGCGAAAATGATCATAACTAAAAGATAATAAAATTAAAAAAAAATAAATAAATTATTAAGCTCAAGCAGGATTAAATTTTTCCATGCGAAGTGGATTTTCATTGTGTGGTGTACTTTTAGAGTATGGGTAGAAAATGGAGGATGGGGCGCCAGCTTGCAAAAAACTGGTAAGAATGATCTCCAATCTATAAATCTTTTAGATCGAACTGAGTTTAGTTTTCCGGCAAGCAACTGGAGTTTGGGGGATTCTTTAAATTTCTCCCTCTTTGTTTTGCTGATAAAAAAAAGTTTGGTTTTGTACAGATCTCCTGCTGTACTAAACACATTTTCTTTTCCCGTTCCAGGTGGCACTACGCCGCTTTTGGTAAGTTTAGCATTACTTTGCGGCTGGTTGCCATGTACATGTAGAACTTTTAGTCCCATATTTATCGCCTTACTCGTAGAGTGGTTTTGATATCGATTGAGATATTGGTTATTTTGCTGTATATTTTTAAACTTTGGGATTATTTTGGGCGGCTTCGTATTTTTACATCAAGTTCATCTGAAGCTTATCACTAAAGAATCGTTTCAGATATGCAAAAAACTCAAGTTTTAGTTTTGCCTGTTTTTTCTCAATTGCGAATTCGCAAAAAACCCAAAACGTGTAGAGCATTTTGCGTTTATGAGAAATCTGTTTTCGAAAAACTCGACGCAAAATGTGTCCCGCAACAATTTTTGTCAAATCCTGTTCAAAAGTTTCTTAAAGTGAAGTTCGAAATTTTGACGGCATTTAGAGCGCGCTGTTCTTTACTGAATGCACAACTCTGAATTGTGGAGTATTTTTCGTTTCTGATTTTTTCCTTATCAACTCATGGTGTTTCATTAATGGCGGATACGAGGCCCGGGTTTGGGACTTTATCACCTAACCAAAAAAATTTCGCAACATTCTCCATGAGTAACGTTTTACCAAATGGCTGACTGCAATTGTTCATAAAATTTGTCAATTTTTCTGTAGCAATAAAGCATATTTTGAACGTAACTGCACCGGTTACTGTGCCTGTTCGTTGGGTTGGCGCACCAAGCCATTTCGGCATCACTGCGCCTACTCCTAAAAATTCACTGAGTTACCCATGTCTACTTCAAAATACACTTATTCATCTAAATCGATGGTGTTGTCCATAAAATTCGCATATTATCATTTTTCATCAAAGCAAAAACTGTATTTGGCCTTCAAGTTCTTATCGCATCACTGTATCAAAATTCTACCTATACCATTACACGGATAAATATTCAAAATAATATCCCTAATTATTTTTGAACAAAAAAAAAGAAAACAGATAAACTCACAACGACAATAAAAAAACAACCATTGAAATTGCGGTTATTATTTTAATAACACCGTCCGATGTGGGGAACAATGGTTGACTAGATGCAGCCATTGTTCGAGGCAGTACCATGGGAAGGCAGCGGAAAAACAATCGGCCAACCGGTACCGTGTATTTAGGCGATGTAAACATTTGTAAGGCAGTCGACATTGTTTCTAAACGGAACCGTTTCTGTGGGTATTCAGCGGGTTTCCAACAATGCTGCGTCAACCATGGTTCACATACATTTCTCGATTTATTATCAGATAGATGGGCGTTTGTTTACGACAAATAAAACAAAAGTAGTTACGGGTTTTCTCTGTTTATATTGTTTGACGTAAAATCTTGAGCCATAAAAACTAAATTTGTTAGGCTGCGTAAAGGTAAGTCAATGGGAACGTTGTCATCCAATTTTCGCCCAAACGTGTTGTATTCGGGTACTACTTATTAAGAGTGAACGTCAGGCGTACCAAGGAAACTATAAACCGCAGAAAGGCTTAAGCTTGTTTTTGCATAGTATCTAGTAAAAGTAATCAACAGAGAATTCGGATAATTATCTATCCGTTCTCTAGTGTAATATATTAATGTGATGTGAGTGCTAGAAGAGTAAAAATGATAATTTTGATATATTGTCACTCTAAATCTAAATTATTTTAAAACACTTGCAAATACTGAAACACGCAAATCAATAAAACATGGGAACGGCCCTGTATGTAATTGGATAAATTGAACAACTATTTACAGTGTGTATGGATATCAGAGCAAGTTGATCAGGCTTAAGTTGTCACTTTTAAGAAAGAATGTGAAAGTCTTTTACTAATAATTTTATTGCCATATCTAAGTTGGTAACATATGAGAAACTTTTTTAGTATTCATTTTACGAAAAAAGTTATTCGTTATGAAAGTTCTGCAGGTTCTTAAATCTAAAATAAAATAATGATGATCAGATGTAAAATTTCTCAAAAAGTTCAGAGTTCTCAGAGAAATATTTTTTTCACAAAAGCAAAGCACAGTTATCAGTTGTTGATAAAAGACTTAATTAGAACTAAAAATTACGGGCAAATGACATCATGCTTCTTTAAAGATTTTTTACTACTTACTTTTCTTCAACATTTTTTTTCATCAACAACATTTTAGCGATGCATTTAAATGAATAATACCATTATAGTTAATTTTGTTGTAATAGTTTTCACGAAGGTAATTGTTCTATCACAAAAGCTTTTCAATGCTCCTCAATCTATAGCGGAAGTAATATTTTGAACCGATTCGGTAAGAATTCTTTCCAAATAAGCAACATCTGTAAATGGCCTTCAAAGATTCACCTTTTCCTGCAGATAACCAAACAAGCAAAAATCGGGCGATCCCAAATTTGGATCCCGAGATGGCCAAAAAATTTCGGAAAGTCCATCTATAGCTTTTCTCTTAAACCTATTTTTAATTTATTGCCTTAGGTATATCTAACCTACTGTGGCATGTTGCACGATCCTGTTTGAACCATATTTGTCGACACTGAAACGACTAGAAAGCGATTTCAAGAAAATCTTTCAATTCACTCTCTAAGAGTAGGTAACCGTAACTACTTAAGTAACGGTTCGCGTTCAAAAATTCATAAAAAAGGTCCAAATATTTTATTTCGGTAAATTCGGTACGCACACGTTTATTTTGAGTACATATTGGAGTCTTGATGGTAACATTTTGATTAATATCACGCCACCAATCTTCTAAATCATTGCTGAATGGTATATCTCTTTTGGCTCAATTCATACGCTTGTCTATATTGCTATCCATTCGAAATTGTGCAGATCCTTTCCAGATTTGTTTCACTTCTCGAAGTTTAATAAATTCCGATAGGTGCAGGAGAGCGACAGTGTGGCCCGCTTTGAAGGGATGAAACTCCATCCCTGATATTAAATTTCACCTGGTGACAGATGGCGATGTACTTTATCACTAACGAATAGAAAACACGTCAAACTTTATTAATAATTTCTCGTTCTGCTGGGGAATCGTCAATTCTTGCGGTATTCAATAGTGGTGTTTTAGTTTTCAAGTTAATGTGATTAGGTGCTAATCAGAACGCTTGTTTCTCCAGCAATTAGTCTTGCTTCTAAATTTTTACAACATTGATTAGAAAATTGATATAAAATTGAATATACACACTTTAAATGGGCATCCGAAGTCTTAGGATTAAAGATTGAACTGTTGATTGCTCAATCATCCTACTGTTGCTTCATAAGTAAATTACGGGCAATGCTATTGCTACTATGAAAACTTAATATTTATAAGTAAAGAAAAAACGTTATATTTTTCAACTCTTCAATCCATTTCCTCATTCTTTAAAGTGTTGATAATTGATGAGAGGAAGATAAAAATTAAAATTTTATTTCCAATTGCCCTACTTTCAGGCTGGTT